AGCCGGAATGGCAAGAAATTTGTGATCAATGGCAATGATGAAAAGAAAACTACAAAATCCAGGCAAGATGTTTTATTTAGCTGCTCGGCTGGCCACACACAATTAATGTGTCAGTGTTTTCATGGAGTTTCCAGTACTCAGAGGACTAAAAGCACTGCATGGTGTTATTTGCCTTCCAACTGTTCAATACGCTTCCCTTTCTAAGGTGCAATCTACACAAATAACTCACTACATGGTAAAACTGGTCTTGGAAAGGGGAGACTGAGCCCAGAAACTCTTTTAGTACATGATGTGCTATTTGTCTACTCAAAGTGGAAGCTGCTCTCATAAGAATCTAAGGAGAGCCTGGTGGCCCATCTAGTGCAACGTTCTCTTTCTTGCAATGTGGCCAACCAGAGGCCCATGTGCAATGGGCCAACCAGAGGAATGTGGCCAACCAGAGGAAAGTCATTGAGCAAGATCTGAGCACAACAGCATTCTCCCTTCCTGAGGTTTCCAGCATTTCCCTTAAAGTATGCAACGATAAAGTAGCACAGCGATATGGGAGACACCGTATTTTTTGCACCATAACACTCACTTTTTTCCTCCTAAAAAGTAAGGGGAAATGTCTGTGTGTGTTATGGAGGGAATGCCTACGGGTGGCATGCCTACGGATTTTCCTCCTCTAAAAACTACGTGCGTGTTATGGTCGAGTGCGTGTTATAGAGCGAAAAATACGGTATGTGCAAAGGAAACGTATCATAAACTCCCCTCATGGTTACTCTGGATAAGTTTGCTGGCGTGGTGTTGATCCCTGCCATGGCAAAACTCCTATGTTCCAACAGTATCATTATATATATTTGTCCAGTAGCACCTTAGAGACCAACTAAGTTTGTTCTTGGTATAAGCTTCCAAGTGCATGCACACTTCTTCAAATACACAGAATTTAATGACATTTAATGTCATTTAATGACAGCTATTGGCTGGCCCCTTTCTTTTGTTGGGCAGAGTACTGGTTAATGGCACAGGATGGTCAGTAGATAGTTTCTCAATGAGAGATAATGGAAAGGAAATAATTGCTGATATCCATTCAGAGCATGTCAAAAGATTCAATTTGTAATACATAGGAGGCGCGCAAATATTGCTTCACCCAGGACGGGAGGCTTAAATAAACTTTTAAGCCTGTCTTGCAGTGCTTAATTCATATTTAAATGCACACTGCAACCTGATTAAACCCAAAGGCATCCAAACATAACACAGACACTGTTGTTGTTTTTTGTGAAATGCCAAGGGCATGATCCCTCACCTCTGCAGCAGGCACTCCCTCTGGTGGGCGACAGTGGAGAACAATCATGCCTTCAATAGGAACTTCCCTCCCCTGGGGGTCTTGCTCAAAGTTCTTGCGCAAATCTGTAAAGAATAACACACTGCAGTTAACCATTCAAAAAAAAAATCAAAAAAAAAAATCAAGGGGGATAAACAGGTTAGTCCCTTGCAGCAGATATAGTAAAGCAGGCCAGGGAGCTTATTCAGTCTTAGGGCCACGTTCCATTTTAGAGAACCTATTGAAGACCACCAGAAGCATGGCTGACCCAGGGGTTTCTGCACACACATTTATTCATCTTGGCAAGCAAGAAATACTGTCACAGTTCAAAACCCCTTAAGCAGGGCCTCTGAGGAGTGTGGCATGGCCCAGGGAGAGTCTTGGATGCCATATCCAGAGGCCTAAAGGGCCACATCCAGACATAGGGTCTGAGGTTCTGTAGCAAAATAAATGTCTGGGCTGAAAGGAAAACTCCAGCAGGATTAATGAATAACAAAAGGGTGTTTATTGCTAGCAATAAAGGCTCAGTGGGATCACTCTCCAAAAGCTGAGCAAAGCCCCAAAGGGTGGGACCTGCTGTTAAAGCAATACATATGCATAAACTTCCTCCAATTTAAAGTTACAACACAATACTAATTACACCATGTATGGTCTTTCCTTCATTACCGATTCACTAGGCAAGGAAACAAAGGACTCTCTCTTGTCAAATGCAGACACTTAAGAATGTTGTTTACAACCTTGGGAGTAAAGCTCCTCCTAGCACAAGATAAGGCACAAGGCCTCTAACCTGGCTAGTTAGCTGAGCTTATAGGTCTCTATGTAAATCACTTCCCCAGGTTTGCATCATGAGTTCTGTGGCACCTTGAAGGCCAGCACATTGACTACAGTGTGAGTTTTCATAGGCAAGCAGTTATTTCTCCAGATGTATAAAGTGGGAGAATTTAGATGGTGTGTGCATTTGTACATATATAAACAGATAGAAAAACTGGAATGCACTCATACGCCACCCCTTCTACAAGGAGCTCACAGCAACATATATGGTCCCCCCCCCGAAAAAACCCCCAGGTTATCTGTACAACACCCCTTTGAAGTATGTTAGGCTGTGAGAGACTGACTGACCGAGTGTCACCCACTGTGTTTTGTAGCTTAGTGAAGCTTTGAACCTTGGTCTCTCCATTTCCAGCCCAACACTAACCACTATGCCACACTGGCTGTCCTAAAAGGCTGGAAAACAGCATTGCAAAACACGGAGGAGTGTGGATTTCAGTTAATATATTGGTTAAAGCAGTTCAAGGAGTGTAAAATTGTTAGGGTGATGTGAATGAATGTCTCTCCCATTCCTAAATCCTAAGCACAATCCTAAGCACAAGTACTACCCAGGACAGGATGGGGTTGTGCAGGGTTGTTAAGGCAGCAGAGAGCATTGTTGGCTGCCCACTCTCCACCTTAGAGCAGATTTATGCCACAAGGTGCCATAGGAAGGCATTGGACATAGTAAAAGATCCATCGCATCCTGGTCACTGTCTCTTCGAGCTCTTGCCGTCGGGACGGAGATACAGGACGATGAAGACAAGAACGAGCCGTCTTAAGAACAGCTTCTTCTCCAGAGCAATCTCGGCCCTGAATGGGAAGCCCGGACTTTGAAAGTCATCTAATCTACCTTGCTGTATTATACTGTATTGATTAATTAGTGTTTTTATGGAGCAGTCAAGTAATTTCATTGTCCCCGAAGGGGGCAATGACAATAAAGATATTATTATTATTATATTATTATTATTAATTACTGGGGAGCTAGTCTCATTGGGCATAGTGGGACTTGGCTTGGAATAAGCATGCTAAACATAGTGCTGGACAGCTCCCATGCCTGGGAACTGACTAAATGCTTTCTCCCCTGCAGAGAGAATGAAATTATAAGAATTTGCCTCTCTTCATATTGCATTGTAAGGTCTATCAGAGAAGTCTTCCCACTCACTTATGTATGTTTCTCTCCCCACTCTTTCTCCCCCCACCCTTTAAAAACAGCAATGAAAAGCAGTCTCCGACTTCATGGTGCGGAGAGAGAGAAAGATCGATTCGGAAAATTAATAGAATTTCACTTCAAGTGCGTTTTTTTAAAAAATAATGTTGACTTTTCTAAAACAACACACAAACAAACAAACACATTTTAGAAGTGCATATATTCAACTTAAATGAACCTGGGTCTTAAACCCAGGTTGAAATCCAAAGGGAGCAGAGATTTACTTGATGAAAAGCTAGTGGAGCAGCTCCACCACATCCAGAAAGTGATGCCTGCCTTCATTCCTACCTGGTGATGATAGGGCACTGAACCTGAGGCTTTTTGCATGCATAGCAGGTGCTCTACAGCTGAGTCAGTATAATTCCCACTTGCTATTTCCCACCTCCCCTGAAGGGAGTCTCTAAAAATGTTAGAGACCCTTCCCTTCCTGCTTTTCCCTACACACACACTACATACCCATATACAATAGAGAAAACAATATATGTAAATAAAGCAACACAGCTTTATTGAGAAAACAGAGAAGGTTGCTTTGCCAATGGAAATAACCAGAGTACTTATTTTAGTTATATCAAGGCTACATAAGAGCTCCTTACCAAGGCTTTGTATTTTTTGGGAGGAAAAACTGCAAAGCCACGCTGGACATGGAGAAAGCAAGTAGCCGTGTCCATGTGGCTTCAGAACTTATATAGCCAGATCGATCCACCAATTAATTTCATGCTCCCTTTTCACACTTCCATGTTAGGAAAGAAAATTCATAGTATATGGCGGAGGGAGAGAGAGTCAATAAAAATCCAATTCCGAATAATAGCCCTATGCAGCCCTGCAAAACGGGAGAATTACCAGCTCCTTCAATGTAAGGGCAGTTAATTCAATGAAATAAAAATAATTTACGCATTCCAACCAAACCAGCCAATGAAAAATCACTGTCATTTATAAAAATCATGAAGCTGCTGTGTTTACCCAACTGTTCAATTTAAGGCGAGCATCCTTAGAAAAAAAAGGGGTGGAAGAAAAGTAATATCTGAAATGCACAGGAAAAAAGGGGATATGCAGAAAGTGGGCCATCTAGGGGCTCACCCCAAAGAAAGGTTTAATCTTCTGAACATGCTCAAATAATGTGTACACAAATGGACAGATCTATTTCCTCTCGTCCTGCTGCTGACTCCTCCCCTGTAAAAGTATTTTCTGGAGGCTGGGAAGACTCCTGAATCTAGCAGTGTCATAACCCCTGAATCTAGCAGAGACATGGAGTTGGAGACTGCAGGGGACACCAGGTGGGGAGCCATAGATGACTGTTGAAGATAGGGAGACCATTGTGCTTGAGCAGCCCCCAGAGGAATCTCTCAGTCCACCAGGACCTGTAGGGCCAGAAATCAGAATCTCATGGTCACCTTCCCCCGAGGAACCAAATGCCTCCACAGCACAGCACCCGTCCAGCAGTACAGGAAGTGCACCCGGAGGTAGGTTATAGAACAGAGGAGGAGTGTTTGTCTTCAGGAAGAGGGTTGGCCCTTTAAGGCTCTTCCCTACAAATGGAGCGAAGTTGGAAGAGGTAGTTTGGAGACAGAGACCTAGGGCTCTTCCACACTTCGTGTCTTGTGCCAAGAAAGCACAGGTCCAAGCAGTTTTCCACTTGTCATTTGCTTTCTAGGCATGATTTTCCCTTTGCCCCACTGCTTTCCCCCAGACAACCTACTCTTTAGCATTAAATCAGAACAAACGAGAATCTGAAGAAAAACTTGGTTGTTGGTTGTTCTGATTCAGAGCTAAACAACGGGTTTTCCTGGGGGAAAGCAGCGGGGCAAAGGGCATTGTGGATAAGGCCTTTAGAGGCTTCGAATTGTTCCCTTGGAGCTTACTGAAGTCCAGGAACTTTTAATTAGCTTTGCCTTCAGCCTTTCTGCTTTCTCCGTGCGATCTGGCATCAAATCAGAACAACAAAATCTCTCTAGAACAGATGGGGAGGGAGGGATTGAGGGGTCAAGGTAGAGAGGAAGAGGAGGAGTCTCACTGAGCAAATGGAAGTCTGTGTTTGGCACCACCCGAAGTCTGCATATTCTGGCTCATTTTTGTGCTGGGAACCATAATCCAAAAACTGGAAATGTGTATAATCAAAAGAATGAGCTTCCAAATTGGAAATTAGGCCAAAAGGTGCAGGATCATGTCAGTTTGCTGCAAGATTCACTGAAATAAAATTCTTTAAGTATCCCAAAATGGGTGTGAGATGAAGTTTCTGTTCAAGTACAGAATCTAACACCTCCTGGCACCTTCACACAAGCCCAATACCCTCTCAAATTATTTATCTAATGCACTGATTACCTGTTCATCATTGCAAATGCAATCTTAAATCCACATACTGTATATTCTGCAAGTACTAAAAGGTGTGTCTGGCTTTATAATTATTACAGGTCACCAGGTCTCCTGGGTTCCAAAGCATTCCCCAGGTCATGCTAAGCCTTTTCATGCATCATCGCTTTGGGTGCACCATGTTGGGATGTAGTTCTTCCAAGTCTCAAACTCTCAAGATTAGCCAGGGAGGCATTTATGGCTGGTCTTGTTTCCATTTTTAATCTTTGGCAGGTCATTCCCAAATTGGAACTGGAAACTTGACAAAATTGCTATAGACAAATCTGTTTCAGCTGAATATTAGGGAGGGTGGATCCAAATTTATCTCAAGTTACATGTGAAAGAAGATTTGCATGTGCTATTTAAGCATACTTCACATGCCCCATATATTCACACAGCCAATGAAAGTAGGGGAAGTGGGACTGTGGCAGCAAGCACCTTACTCATCCACAACATATGAGCATGTTGTGCACATGTAGGCTCATTAGTAAGGCTGTGGACTGTGCTTTTGCCACATGACTGCATGTGTGAGTCTATGCATGTTGTGCATAGACAGCATAGATGCATAAATAAGCTTACAGTGAGGGTAGAATCCTGCTGCAATCCCAGTGTACATATGGATATTTTGACTCAAAGCCTGAGCAAACGTCTGAACGGTATTGTCAACTTTTAGTTTTACTTTTAGTGTGTCTTCTCATATGGAGATTTTTCAATGTGCTGTGCTTTCCATTCTAGTATTTGATAGATGCATTTTCTAAAAAATGAAAATGAAATGAAATTATGCAAAAACAGAAGTTGCAGCTGATATACAGCTATTAAACACACCATGCATTTAAGGGGACACACTTTGTGAATTTCATTTAGCGAGAAGCCACACAGTGGGTCTATGATCTGCAGCTTCTCATGCCCTGGAGTGGCATTGAAGGTTGGTACCATACAGTAAGCTTATTGTGGGGAATTGCAGTCAAATATAATTGAAGCTTCTTTGTTCACTCTCTATCCACCATGTGAAGCCGACCAGGCAACACATCCGGGCTTGACCACCTCAAGCCCAGACTGTGTGGTCCGAAGTATTTTTCTGAATTTTGTAACCCAAGAATTTCTACCTGTGTTTTTCTTGTTGCTACATGGAATAACACATGAACCTGAAGTTTGGAGTCTGTAAGTAAAGCCATTTAAACTTACTAAAGGTGTGGTCTGTTCATTGTGAGTGTGGTAGAAATGGGGGAAAGTGCTGTAGGCAGGCTAAATGGAATATTTAAAAGGTCTAACAGCCTATTTGTAACACTTCACTGTTGCTGCATTTTTGTGACTTTTAAAGCTCTGCTATGGTTCTTTTACTGGAGAGTGCATTTAGCCCTGTGCTTGAGATCCAGATAATTATTTTATTAATTTATGGACATGGCTATCTATTTCCCCATACATATCACCAGCAGCAACTATGTACTTCTCAATCATATGAAATCACCTTTTGTTAACCACAGAGATAGGGGACGAAGCTGTCAAAACATGTGAATATTCAGCTACAGCAGATATATTTTGTACTTGTTACTGTATTTACAGTAACTACACATGTATTTCCCATACACTTATGAGGGACCCAGGCAAATTTTTAAATCCCAAGCTTTCTCCTTCAAACTAACAAAGTGAATGTCCAATACTCACATGACCCCTAGTTGTAAATACTTGGAAGGGGGACACTGCAACTGGTATGGGGGACACTGCAATACTCACTTCAGCATGTGTCAGGCTTATATTTTGTTCTCAGGAATTGTAAACTAAGCAGAAAACTTAGTTCTGCTTTTTTCCCTCTGTGTGTACATTCACCACCCATGCTTTCCCTATTCTTGCTGCTTTGTCAGCCGTGCTGACCACCAATGTTTGGACAATGGAGACTGTCAAGTGACCCAATGCCCAACAGTAGTCTACAGGGTTCATCCTCAAACTTCTGTAGCAAAGCTGGACAGCACTTACAGGCTATGCGGACCGAAGCTTTTCTGCTCTTTGAAGTCCCTAAGTGGCTCCATGCAACACACTGACACCAGTAGTCCTCTGGCCCATGAAAATCTTCTACTTGCTGCCTTGTCACATTGATGTATGCCTCACGAACCTTCAAGCCTGAATGGGAAAGATACAGGGAAATTAGCTGATAGAGAATGTCTTACTCAGGCATAACACTAAGGTTAGCCAAACCTTTTCTTTTTAATTAAACAATTCCATTTTTTAATCAAGGCAAAGCTTTAATTACTTTGACAATAATATATGGCTGCTAATTAAATTCTAACAGCCAAGTAGGTCAGAACGCATGAGCTGAAAGCATCCGCTTGCCAAGATGTGATTCCAAACTATGCAATATCTGCCTTTAAAATCTTCTGTTGGCACTTTTGCTCTTAATAAATAAATAAAGGTTGGTTTGTTCAGCTTTTTTCAAAAAGAAAATGCAACAATAACACAGCAAGCAAGGCAGCAGTCTTCTAATAAGTGCTGGCTGAAATTCTAAGCACAGATTCTTGCTTAAAACAACAGGACTTTCTTCATAGGTGAGTGTGTACAGTAGTATTTGGGGTGCATACTTTTTTTCATCCATCGGCAGTAACAAAGCATGGCAGCAGAATAATGGTCAAAAATAATAAGACAAGACTGACTGAACGACAGAAAATCAAGAAATATACACAAAGCAACCCCACAGAGAAACAGCAGGCCAGTGGCAAATGGTGCTCAGGAGCTGGCATTATTTTCATAATCCATCATCTTCCCATCTTTCCCGTCAATATGGCTTGCAAAAGTTAAAAACAAACAATCACGAAAGCAACAATGGTTAAAATTAACACACAGTCAGCATTTACTGTGAATAGTCCCGCTTTGTTCACCCACTATTTATTGAGCATCTGCACAATGACATGAGCAAAATATCCCTGTCACATTTTCCCTATGCAGCCTCCTCTCGCTGGTGCTCAAGAAAGCACAGAAAGCCTGACTTAAAAATCTCAGTGGAATAGCTAGGCAGTGCCCTTGTGCAATATAACCCATGACCCAGCTATTCTCTCAGTATATGCCAGGTTGCTCTAATTTCTAGGAATGGTGAACTTGTCAATTTCAGTTTCTCTCCATTTCTCATTTTCCCACTCTTTCGTTCATTTCAAAACATTTCCACCATAGTGTTTTGTTTTGTTTTTTGTTTAAGTAAATCCTCCTGAAAATTCATCAGCATTTTAGTGCAGGTTTCTCTTATTAGATATGCACTTGTATGCAATTTTGCCTAACAGACACAAGTTTACAAAGCAATTTTGCATAATCCAATGTACCTTTGCATGTTAATATATGCTTTTTAATGCATACTTCATCCATATTTATGCTTTTTGTATATATTACTTGGCTGGAGAACTGTGTTGCAAAATTCAGTGCACGATGGCTGCGTTCCGGTTCATGTATTATTTCTCAAAAATATGTGAATTACATGAGTTCACCTTTGAATCCTAAGTGATCCAATTCCCACCCACCCCAATATCTAATTATTTCTAACAACAACAACAAAATTTATTTATACCCCACCCTCCCTGGCCAGGACCGGGCTCAGGGCGGCTAACATCAAAGTATATGATACATTAAAAACATAAATCAAACAGCTTAATCCTAGATGGTTCTAGCCCTCTGCTTCTCTATAGATTCTTTCTACGAATGAACATCTCTCAAATTATAACATCCCCCTTTCCAAATAGCACACCTGTGTTTTCTTAGGCCCTCTATACTTGAGTGAGGGCAATCTAATGAGATCACAGTGAGAGTTGAGGGACCAATGTTTTTGTTTCAAACATTGCAAATAGTGGACAAGATGGACTGTTTCAAGAAGTGGCAGGGAGATATTTCTAGATTTGTCTGGCAGGGCAAGAAGCCCAGAATAAAATTTAAGATATTAACTGATGCAAAGGAAAGGGGTGGATTTGCCCTGCCAGACTTTAAACTTTATTATGAATCAGCAGCTTTTGCTGGTTGAAAGAATGGCTACTTCTTGAAAATACAGACATTTTGGATTTAGAAGGTTTTAATAATGTATTTGGATGGCATGCATATTTATGGTATGATAAGGTCAAAGCACATAAAGCATTTAAAAATCATATTGTCAGGAAAGCACTGTTTAATGTTTGGATAAGATATAAGGATTTATTGGAAAACAAAACCCCAAGGTGGTTGTCACCGATGGAAGCGAAAGCTCTGAAAAGGCTCAATATGGAGGCCAAATGGCCGAAATATTGGGAAATTTTGGAACAAGAAGGAGACAAATTGAAATTGCAGAGTTTCGAGAAATTAAAAAACAAAGTGCGAGATTGGCTTCATTATTATCAGATAATGGAGGCATACAATTTGGATAAGAAAATTGGCTTCCAGGTGGAAAAATCAAAACTAGAAACAGAATTGTTAGAACCCAAAACTAAGAATTTGTCAAGAATGTATAACTTGCTGTTGAAATGGAATACTCAGGATGAAACGGTGAAATCTGCTATGATTAAATGGGCACAAGATGTTGGACATAACATAATGATTGCTGACTGGGAACAGTTATGGACCACAGGTATGAAGTTTACGGCATGTAATGCCCTAAGAGAGAATATTATGAAAATGATATACAGGTGGTACATGACCCCAGTCAAGCTTGCAAAAATCTATCATTTGCCCGATAATAAATGTTGGAAATGTAAAGAAACCGAAGGTACATTCTTTCACCTTTGGTGGACGTGCCCAAGGATTAAGGCTTTCTGGGAAATGATATATAATGAACTGAAAAAAGGTATTTAAATATACCTTCTTGAAGGAACCAGAGGCCTTTCTCCTGGGCATAGTCGGCCAATTGGTGTCAAAGAAGGATAGAACTTTTTTATGTACGCCACAACAGCAGCAAGAATACTCATTGCAAAGTATTGGAAGACACAAGATTTACCCACTTTGGAAGAATGGCAGATGAAGCTGATGGACTATATGGAATTGGCAGAAATGACTGGCAGAATCCGAGACCAGGGAGAAGAGTCGGTGGAAGAAGAGTGGAAGAAATTCAAAGATTATCTACAGACATATTGTAAAATTAATGAATGTTAGAATGATGTTGGATAGAAATTAAGTGGTTTCCAGCTGTAATGCTTTAAGGGAATATGAAAAAAAGGGTTATAAATAGGTAAAAATCTAATGCTATTATTTTTAAGATCAAGGATTAGAATAATTAAAGAGGGTAAGGATTTGCTGAACCAACAGATTGAAGTGGAATACAAAAAAAGGGAGGTATGAGGAGGTCCGGGAAACAAGCTAAAGGAAAATAAGTAATGGAAAATCTGTGTGTTTTTAACCATTTTTATTTTGTATTTTTGTTATTTTTTTCTTTTTTATTGTAATATTTTAAAAAATCTTAATAAATATCTTATTAAAAAAAAAAAATAGTATTGCCCACACTGACTGGTAGTGCTCTCCAGAGTTTCAGACATGGTTTTCTCCCAGCCCTATGTGAAGTGCCAGGGATTGGACCAGGGACCTTTCCATAGCGGTCAATGTTTTCCCTTTTTTAAGGGAAATTCCCTTATTCCGAATAGGATTCCTCGCAAGAAAAGGGAAAAGTTGGCAGCTATGGACCTTTCTCATAAAAAACAGGTGTTCTGTCACTGAGCTACAGTCCTGTTCTGGGCCTAAAACAGAACAGAAAAGACTAAGTGCAACTATATCATCCAAGTCTGGAATCACATGAGAAAAAATGCCAGAAAATCAAGTTTAAAAACTATGCCTATGTGGGTGCCCCACCCCCACAAGACCTTTATCCACCAAACAACTCTAAAAAATAAATGTATTGTTTATGTTCCAAAAAGACCAAGGTATATTGTGTGAATCAAAATATTTTTGCCATTACTTCATAGTTGCTGGATCAAAGTAGTCCCAGGATCAGAAAATTCATTCTGCTGGTAGCCTGGATAAACACTAATTTTTATCAGTTAGATTAAATGCTCATAGTCTCACAGGTATTGCTTCAGAAATATATTCTCACTATTTTCATGCACTTATAACATGGAATGTTTTTCCCTGTCTCCTCTCTACAAATGCAAAGTTGCAGACTGAGAGGCCCTCTGTGATGCCGTCTGTCTATAATAGTTGAGGTTGTGTTAAAACTTTTGCTCCTACGCCTTCCTCAGCATCATCTCTGCACATGGATGGATTTCTTGTCCTCTACATAAGGATGCAACATTGCAAATTGATGTGTAAGCAACCAAAGGGAGGTCAACAGATGCACTCACATCTGTTAATAGCTCAGAAATGGAATGAAGGAATATAATGCTTTGTCTAGGTTCTGATACAGAGCAGGAAAGTGCAACTGCCTGCCAGCTGCCACAACCCTATTACAGACTGCTAAGAATCACTCAAATGGCAGCTAGGGGAGAAAGGGCCTTGGGTATCATGTTGCGAACCACCAATTAGTCAGCGTTTCGATAGGGCAAGATTCAACTCTGGTCAGTATTTCAAAAGATCTACCTAAAGTAGGACTAGCATTGGATACAATTCACTGATGGGGGGGGGGCAGTTCACATTTTAATAGGAACCTACCTACTCTGCACTTCCACAGACAATACACAAAACAAAGCACAATTAGCCTTCAAAATTCCAACTTCCCCAACCAGAAGATGTACACAAATATGTTTATATTAGGAGAAAGCAGGCATAAAAATGTAGAAATGAGTGAAAAGAACATACAAACTTGCGTTATATTAAGGAAAATGTGTCTGCTTTCAAATGTTCTTGGTGACTTTTAAAAACAACAAAATAGAAATCACAGACTGATGTAGAACTGTGGATAAATGAATTTAAGATGGGGCGGGGGGGGGGGGGAATTAGCTGTGTTAAACTGAAATTGGCGAAGCTGAGCTTCCAGCAAAACACAATGTGATCTAGTTAGTACTTATTGATACGAGATGTAAGCAGGTTACAAGCCTGTCCCCATTTTTATCAGTTAAATGTTGGAAGGTATGCAAATCCTAATCATCTCCTAATTAACATTACTGGTAATTGAGTAGTCCAATTAAATTTGCTAGACATCTGCAAAGCAGTTCCCAACTACTTTGGCAAAGTAACTAGCCCTGCACTTTGTAACACATTTCCACCTCTTTGAAGGCTCATTTGCTTCCAAAGAGCCTTTCTTTCATCTATAAAGCTCAGATCTTGGACATTTATAAGCCTTGCAGAAACTGGTGTTTGATCACGATGTCGGGGACTTTGCAAATTAATTCGGAGAAACTTTGCTCAATATGAACTGCTAGACATCTCAGATGTAAAGCAAACCTTGTGAGAAATGACAACCTCAAGCTAAACAAAATGAGACGGTGGCTTCCAACAGGAAAGTACTGAGAGATACAGAGACGAGGCTTGTCAAGGGCTCAAAATCTTAAATGCCTGTCACTTCACAGATATCAATACAATGGACTTCTCTCCAGAATCCAAATTTAAATCTTCCAGCATCACTAGCTAATGCCTTGATTAAATATCTCAGAAAAGCTTTCAAAAATCCCCAGAACAGAAACACTCGGGCAGATATATAACAAGGCTGGAGACAGTCAACAGATATTGGGGGGGGGGAGGGGGAGGGAGGGAGGGAGAGAGAGAGATTTGCATGGCAGGTATGTAGCCTACCATACAACGTAAGAATCACACCTGTTCCTCAGGCTACTGTTGCCTCCAAACCACCACCAACACCATTGATGTGTGGCCCCTGGAAGGTAGTCTATGAAGGAATGTGTCCTTCAGGATGAAAAATGTGTTCCCTTCCCTATAGCAACCCTAGTGCCTGCCAGACAATGTGGACTACACCTCACATAAAACCCAGTTAGCATGGATACATAATAAACTTCACAGTGAAGTTTGTGCCTTAGTCAAGCCCAACATCATAGTACAGTCATACCTCATATTACGTTTCATTCTGAGGTGACCCGGAAGTACCGGAAAGGGTTACTTCTAGGTTTCGCTGCTTGCGCATGTGCAGACGCACAAAATGACGTGGAACGGATCCCGTTCGCAACCAGAGGTACCACTGTACAGTGGTACCTTGGGTTACATACGCTTCAGGTTACATACGCTTCAGGTTACAGACTCCGCTAACCCAGAAATTATACCTCGGGTTAAGAACTTTGCTTCAGGATGAGAACAGAAATCATGCGGTGGCAGCAGCAGGAGGCCCCATTAGCTAAAGTGGTGCTTCAGGTTAAGAACAGTTTCAGGTTAAGAACGGACCTCCGGAATGAATTAAGTAGGTAACCAGAGATAACACTGTATAGCACACTACTGGAGTCACAGCATCTTGGCAGAGTCAATTATTGCCGCCCTCCCCTGCCGCTTTGATCTTCCCTCACTCTGCTCAACCCAAAGAACCAAACAGCACTGCGTACCTGAAACTGGAAGCTGCCACTTTTGTTTCCCACAATGCCCTGGGCACTCAGGCATTGTGGGAAATTTAAATGGTGTTTCCTAGCCACCTGACAAAGATTAAAGTGCTGCTGCTGTCTCCACCATCACATAAGCCTGCCAGGTTCACCAAAGCAGAGCTCTCTGCTCCCCTGCAACAATATTATCATACTTCAAATTGGGCTATAAGTGGATACAAATGTGGAAAAATAAGCTAAAGCAGGGTGGGGAGGGAATCAGGCTTTCATCCTCAACAGAGAAATCAATGCATCTTGTTCTTACAGCACAGGTGACTAACCTGTGGACAGGCAGATGTTGTTGGACTTCAACCCCCATCTGACCAACTAGAGTAGCCAATGGTGAAGGATGATGGGAGTTGTAGTCCAACAAAGATATAAAGGACCAGAGGTTAACCACCCCTGTCTTAGAACAACTAATGAGAACTATTTCACTACTATGCATCACTACATTGCCTATCTTTGATGCCATCACAGAGAATGTTTCCATTTCAATACCCCCCGGAAGGAGATGAGGATCTACCTGGGCTCCTCTAGGTGACCTTTTTAATGAGCATTCATCCTGATTTGCTTACATGAAGCTTACATGGAGGTTCGATTGTGAGCATTTGAGCATGTTTGCAGGAAGGCCACAGAACCATGAATATTCATCTTGGTTTGCTTGTGGCATGTTTGCGAATCTTCCTTTTAATCATCTGTTCATGCCACCTTTTTCCCAAAATGTTTCCTGTCAGTTTCATAACCACAAAAGAATATGTTTCCTTTTAAAAGTATATGAGTTGAACTAGGACAATAGGGAATTTTAATATGCTTTAATTGGGAAAATCTACATTTCCTGGTGTGGGCTTGAATCCATCCCACAAAATACTGATAGTTGGAGATGCCCCTCCTCAGTTCTTAAAAATATCATTTCTGTTCTTCACCATTCCCAGAGTTAATAATTTGTTATTTTCAAATTAAGAGACCTTTCAAGTATAAGATACCTACACACACCAAAATAAATAAGCACATTTCATTTATTTTCATTAATTTGTTAAAAATGGCACTCTTCTTCTTAGGTCACCTTCCCATGCATGGCATATAGGGTTTGAGGACATCTGCATGGCAACAACCCACACTACTGATGCTCAGGGGTGAGACAAATCCTTCTTGAACATTAAGGGGGAAGCTAACAAGCTGTGGGCAAATTCTTCCTTTTAATTATAATTATAATGAACACAAAGCCCCTTTGGGGGCAGTGGACATTGTTGTGTCCTCTGAGGATGTTATATAAATGAGCTCCAAGGCAAATGAGAAGTGGAAGCGAGATAAATGGAAGACCAGCTATGCCATACAAAGAGAGCATCAAACCCAGAAAGCTTATTCCTTTCATTAGTTGCTGTAAGAGAAAAGACAGTCAATGGGTTGTTGCTTCCTTTGAGCACATCATTCCCACCTTCGAGCCAGGGTAGTGCCTTTTACCCACCTCTAAAGAGCTGGCAGAGGCCTTCATCTCACCCCTGGGATCAAGAGATAAAACCCCTCTTTCGAGAGTGCCACAGCACTGCTATTAGGAGATGAAGAGCTGTGTCTGCTCTCTAAAGAGGAGCACACTTTCTATCCCGATCTCAGTGCAGAGCTGAGATTGCGAGGTGAGATTGTGAGGGATGGTGGGCCACTTTCTACAGCTTACTGTACTGGGCCCAGGGGTAAACCCAAGCAACGCGGTCCAGGTCCGGTCCCGAATCCAAGACTGCCACAAAGAGTCAGTCCGACAGGGTCAAGGCAGGAAACCAGGCTAGGTCAGGCACAGGGTAACAGGCAGGTTCCAGCAAGCAGCAATATTGCTCCCATAACCTGGGACAGGGTCCGGCAGCCTTTTATCTCTGTCAGGGTAACTGCCGGTCCTGATCCCCTGGTGACTCACCTCCCTGTCTTGCCCGAACACAAGCTCTCCTTCTGCGAGTACTCAGGTCTCTCCTTCTCTCAGACCTGAGTCTCTGCAGCTCGGGAGATGTTGGTGGGTTACTAGACCCAGAGGCCACCTCAGCCTCTCCTGACCCAACTGGTAGTGGAGCAGCTGTAAGTGATGGCCCAGCTGAAGGCAACAAGATAATCCCCGCATCTGGAGCCAGGGCAGGCTCAGGCCCCTGACTCGGCCCAGCTGGTGCTTGTTGCAGGGGAACCTGTGCAGACTGGGGCTCTTCAGAATCAGGCCCCAGACTCGGTTCAGAGGCAGAGGCCCCTGAGGCAGAGGATCCAATGTGGACTGACGCTCCTCTGGTTCCGAGTCCGAGCCCGAGTCCCAGGCCATCACACTTACTGTGATGGATCTGGCCTTGGACCCATGGGTTCGCCTCCCCTGTTCTAAGAGGTGAGTACAATTTGTAGACTAACCCTAAAATTACATTCCAAACTGATTTGGAGAAAAGGTGAGTAAGATGAGACATAACAGAGGCATATACAATTATGGATGGTGTGAAGAAAGCTGACAGAGAAAAGCTCTTCTTCCTCTCTCATAACACCAGATCTCAGGGACATCTAATGGAGCTGAATGTTGGAACATTCAGGACAGACAAAGAAAGCAATTATTCATACAGCACATCGTTAAACTATGGAATTTACTCCCACAGAAGCTAGTGATGACCACCAGCTTGGATGACTTCATAAAGGGATTAGACAAATTCTTGGAGAATGGTTGCTAACCTTGATGGCTGTGTTGTGCTTCTGCTGTTGGGCACTGTAAGCCTCAAACTAAACAGCTGGTGTAAATCAGAACTGGGGAGAGTGCTGCTGTGCTCAGGTCCTGCTTGTGACATCTGGTTGGCCACTGTGAGAACAGGATGCTGGACCAGATGGGCATTTGGTCTGATCCAATAGGCTTTTCTCACATTCTTAAACCTATGGACTGGTTGAAGCAAGCTGCATCTACACTTTTGCCCAGTATCTGGGAAGCAATATTAAGTGTGGTAAAGAGAAAATGGATAGAGACAATTGGTTTTGCTCCTCTCATTAGACTACAACTCGGGGTCATCCAGTGAAACTGATGGGCAGTCGATATAGGACAAGCAAAACAAAGTACTTCTTCACACAGTGCCAAGTAAACATATGGGAATTTTCTGTCACAAGATAGGTCTGTCTATGGTTCCTGGTTCAGAGAGATGATGAATAATTCAATTTATTATTTGTGTAATACAAAACTTCTCTCAGCGACTTAAATGCACAATTAAAAACCAACCAACCACCAAGTTTAATAATAAAACAATATCCCCAAAATGCAGACACAGAGAGAGTTTACGAAGGATACTGAGCAGCTCGGATGTGTGCAGAGGAGAGTGACCAAGATGATAAAGCTTTGGATAAGTTTAGCCTGGAGAAGAGAAGACTGAGAGGTGCTAGGGCAGTCATCTTCAAATATTTGAAGGGTTGTCACATGTAAGAAGGAGCAAACTTGTTTTCTGCTGCTCTAGAGTGTAGGACCCAAACCAATGGATTCTAATTCCAAAAAAAGGAACTACAACCAGACATTATGAAGAACTTTCTGGTGGAAAGAGTTGCTCAACAATGGAATGGAAAATCTCAGAAGCTGGGGGACTCTCCTTCATCTGTCAGCTGTGGTTCCTGCACTGCAGGGGGTTGGAGTAGATGACCCTTGAGGTCCCTTCCAACTCTACAATTCTAGGATTCTAGGATTATAATAATCTAGGAGAAGAGGTATGTCTTAATCTGAAATAATGCTAAAGTTTGCACCTGGTGGACTTTACTGGAGAAAGCATTCCATAGCCTCTTAACATTATCTTCTGGGAGCACACAACAGGGATGTGGTGCTTGTGGACTTCCTATAAGCAACTGGCTACCTACCATTTGGAGCAGGATATTGGACTGAATAGAACTTTGATCTGGTTCCTCTTATGGGAGTAGGGCTCAGGGCTCCACTGTTCTCAGTTCTAACCAGTGCAGATCTGTGCTAGCCTGTAAGACCTTTGTGGGGGATGAAATGAACTAGGGTGACAGGTTGGTGGGCAGGCAGCTCTGAAATACATGCAACTGAACCACAATTGTTCTTTTGGATTCATACTCCCAACCCCCAGTCTTGTCCAAGATCTGGATGCAAGATGAAACTCTCTGGGCTTTTTAGCATCTGCTTCTGTAAATAAATCTGATTTGCACTTGGTGACTATTGATTTTCAGCATTGTAAACCTAGATTCTCTATAAATCAGCACCCACTTAATCGCAAGCATCAAGAGGCATTCAGGAGTTAACCCATTCCTTCAGTGAGCAACAGAGGTGCAGATTTGTAATATGTACAGAAAAGGGGAGAAAGATCCGTAGTGGATAAAAGGGTGAGGAAATGTCACAGATGCAACTACTAGAATTGTTAAAGGGGGACACATCTCCAGTCCCCCCACCCTATAATTCTGTAGCTGGAAAAGCCTCTTCTAAAGCTGACACATATCTTGCTCAAGAATGTTAAGTGAAATGTATAGGCAAACCCAGCATTCTATCTGCTTTACCATCCAGGACAGCAAAATCAAGACAAGGTAGTTGAGACCTTTGTTTCCTGATCGATATAGATTATAGAAGAATAGGTTTAGCATTGGCATTGGTGTGGATACATTGATCAACCAACCTGCTTTCTGGTTGATATGCTCTAAGCTGACAGATGGGGTGGTGGCCCACATTGGAGTCCTCTATGGCGTGAACTGCTTCTGGTGGACCCCTCCCTCCTGATTGCTAAGAGGTAGGTGAAACCCCATAAGACCAAGCCAATGCACCTGTGGCCCATAGCAATGTTAATGGATGACCACCATGTCCCTGTAAAAAAGTAACAGTCAAAGTAAACAGAAAAGAATGGGTGAGAAACCTAGACTGAGACTGAGTGTTTGAGACAGGCCTCCCTTTCTCTCTCTCCCAGGAGAAGACTTGATGAGCGCACTTCTCCGTCAGGCCTGCTCTGATGCCCTGCCCCTCAGGGAGCCTAGCCTGGATGCCAATTGGCTCCCCAGGTCCCTCTGCCCATTTCACGACTTCCAGTATGGTTGCAATGAATGCAAAGTGCCTCCCAGCCACACACGAAGACTCAAAATGGTGACTGTCTTTCCCACCTGCTGCTGCCAGGCTGTAAATGGCACTCGTCGGTACATTAGTACCAAGGTTCATCAGTACAGTGGTACCTCGGGTTAAGTACTTAATTCGTTCCAGAGGACCGTTAACCTGAAACTGTTCTTAACCTGAAACACCACTTTAGCTAATGGGGCCTCCTGCTGCCGCCGCACCACTGGAGCATGATTTCTGCTCTCATCCTGAAGCAAAGTTCTTAACCCGAGGTACTATTTCTGGGTTAGCGGAGTCTGTAACCTGAAGCATATGTAACCTGAAGCATATGTAACTCGAGGTACCACTGTATTTTGGAACTTTCAGTTCCAGTTCATATACTGCCTGTCTTATGTCGTGTTGTGTTGTGTTGTGTTGTGTTGTGTTATGAGATTCAGACACCTTGGAGGTCACATACTTAGTTGAGACACATGCCATAAGAACAACCCTGCTGAATTAGTGCAGAAATCCATCTGGCCCCATCCAGCCTATCATTGTATTTTCCACAGTGGTAAATCAAGTGCTTCTGGAAAGTCCAAAAGCAGGACATGAATGCAATAAATAGACCTTCCTCTGTGCTTGCCCCCAATCAAGTGGCGCTCAAGAGCACATTGCTTCTGCACCTAAAATATCCATAAATCCACCATGATCACTATATATCATCATTTAATTATATTTACTGCATACCTTTCCTCCAAGGAGCTTATGGTGGCATACAGTATGTAGCCACAACACAGAAAATGTCCACATTTGGACATCATGCCAAACCATAATTTAGTGCAGGGATGGGATAATTGGTGGTCCTGCAGATGTTGCTGAACTACAGCATCATCAGCTGTGACCAGTCTGACCAATGGCCGGAGAAGATGGAAGCTGTAGTCCAGCAACATCTGAAAGACTGTAGGCTTGATGCCCATGGCTTATTGTGCTGAGAATGAGCCACAGCAAGCCCTGAGCTTGGTTCAGAAGCTTTTACTTCTGGTTTAGATTAACTGTAGCTTGCTATGAGGTCCAAACCCACAAGGTTAAAGGTACCCCTGCCCGTACGGGCCAGTCGTGACCGACTCTAGGGTTGTGCGCTCATCTCACTCTATAGGCCGGGAGCCGGCGCCGTCCGAAGACACTTCTGGGTCATGTGGCCAGCGTGACGAAGCTGCTCTGGCGAGCCTGCACCAGCGCAGCACATGGAAATGCCGTTTACCTTCCCGCTATAAAGCGGTACCTATTTATCTACTTGCACTTAAGGGTGCTTTCGAACTGCTAGGTGGGCAGGAGCTGGGACCGAACGACGGGAGCTCACCCCACCGCGGGGATTCGAACCGCCGACCATACGATCGGCAAGTCCTAGGCACTGAGGTTTTACCCACAGCGCCACCCGCGTTCCCACAAGGTTAAACAGGGGTTATTTGAAACAAGCCAGCTTCAAGACGTGGGTTATGATGCTGCCAACGAAACATTGTTGACATTGAACACAGTTTAGGATCTAACTACACTTTAGGAACTAACAACACACTAAACTGCAGCTAATCAAAAGCCATCATTTGTTTTTCCTTGCAGCCTTACTGGAGGAGGAATGGGGAAGAGGTGAAAGAGCCTAAGGCTTGTTACCACTCATTTCTGTCATGCTAAAGCACCGTGGCCAGTATTTTTGCTATTATTTGCCAGCTGTCATAATGCCATCAATATAAATTACAAAGATCTCAACAGTACAGAAAATAATCTAAGGGATATAAAAACCTTTGGTGTGATTACATGTACAGTTCTGGTAACTCTATCTCAAAAATAGCATTACTGAACTGAAAAGGGTACAGAAAGACAGCTAGAATATCAAGGCCTTGGAGCACTCGCTTATGAAGGAAGGCTAACTAATATAGGAATTTTGGGGAGAGCTGATGGTGACCAAGGGGAGGGAATCAGGTCAACATTTATCAAATTATTGAATGGTTGGAAAGAACAGAAAAATTACCCGGTGCTTAGGAGTAAACAAGAGGAACAGCCACTCCTCTCAGAATGCCTGTGTGAGAGCTTCCAAACCCAGCTTACTGGCTAAGTTCTGCAAGCACAATAGATTTGATCTCATTCAGCATTCAAAAATGATGCATGAGGCTCAAATAGGAGGGGGCAATATGTCCTTGACAGATCTGTTCCACCATGACCTTAATATGTTGAGTTGGAAAGACTGAAAGGAGCTTCTAAGTATGTTCAGACAAACTTATTTAGAAGGCCTCACCAGACATTCCCAATGTAGGAAAGCTGAGGGTGCCTGGGGCACACAAATTGTGGGAGGGGTCAGCATTTTGCACCCCTCCCTGGGGCCCTTATGCATTATTTTGAATGCCTGAAGAAAGACTGAGATGAGGCTCATTGATTAAAAAGTATCCAGGTAGGGACTTAATAATTTGTGGTCCATGCATGAAGATCATCCTTTACTTTTAAAAATCTCATTCTGAGCAGCAGTTCATGAGGTGGAATAACCAAGCATTTCTAATTGGAAAATCAGTCACACACAGTTCACCATTTGAAATAAAAATCATTTAGAAGTCCAAACCAGTCCAGAGTTTAGCTAATTTGTTCCCTGCCCCCACTTCCTTCTGTAATCCTCCAAGAGAGGTTGCTAGACTTTGAAGGGGGATCAAGATACAGTTGTACCTTGGATCTCGAATGCCTTGCGACTTGAACATGTTGGCACCCGAAAACCGGAAGTGAGTGTTACAGTTTTGTGAATGTTCTCTGGAAGCTGAGCGTCTGACGCGGCTCACGCAACTTCCAACTGAGTGCAGGAGGCTCCTGCAGCCAATCGGAATCCGTGCCTTGGTTGCTGAATGATTTCAGTTTGAACATAACTCTAAGATAAATTTATTTAAAAGTGAAATTAAACTCCACAAAAGTCCTCCTCTTGGCTGTGAGGAAGGGGATGCTTCACTTAGGCTTCTTGACACTGGCCTCCAGAGGGCTAAACTGTGTTCAGCATTATAATCAAACTGGGCCACTGTGTTCTTCTTGTTTTAGAAGTAAAAATGCCTCATTGATATTCTAAAAGCAAAAGGGTTTTTGAAAACATTTTGAAAATATGCTGAGATTTTCTCCACCAGACACCTGAGTAAGTACACATTCAATGTACAGCAGAAACCAAGAGACCAAAATCTAGCAGACCATGCCAATAACACACACACACACACACACACACACACACACTTAAAAACGTGTATGTGTGCAACATTCTTAAAGGTTCAGTCTATAAGATTCATGGCTGAGTGGGGATCTGAAGCCCTCGATTTTCCACTGGCCAAATTCCAACAGACTGCAAGATGCAGTTGTGGGGAACATGTTTCACCTTTGTACAGTCAGCTAATTTCTACAGAGAGAGCTCTGTATCTTTTATCTAGGGAAGCAAGAGTCATTACCACAATCCAAGGGCAAAATCACTAAAGCAGGGTGTGAAGCAAGGGCAGTGAGGGGTTTGGTCTGGGGAAATGAGAGTGTGGCTGAGGAGGATGAGTCCCAAGGGCCCAAGGGCCAGAAAACAAGGCCTTGAGGGCCGTATTTGGTTTTCCCACTTGTGACATGGAACAACCTCATGTGTCTCCATCAGAGGGTGGGGTGCAAATTTAACAAATAAGACAGACACACCAGGCGCAGTTAGGGAGGGAGACCTCCTTGCTGAGAGGGGAAATATTTTGCTGTTTCCTTAAACTACAGATCTCCCCTGCCTCGAAAGGAACGATAATAATAGAAATTACATGGCAAGAACCTCTAATCAACTCGAGTAAGAACCAATGCATTATAAATGAAAACCAACATAGTTCCCCGATACCTTATGTAATTCCAATTCACAGTGGTAGCCCATCCCTTTAAATTATTGTGCAAATTATAAGCATCATCCTTTGTCATCCAGCACAGCCTCAAAGAATATGGGGAGTTTTGCCTCTGGTATTGCTATGCTAATAAGCTTTCTGCACTGCTGGGTGGTTTAGCAGCAGACAGACTAATGCTGGCAGAGGATGAATAATTGCTTGGTATGTGCTAAACATAACGGAGCAAGCACCAAACTTCATCATTTGTCAGCTTTATTTGTTTAAATGAGAAAAATGCTGACAGCAGTTATTGCTGTAATCTTTTTATTTATCAGACATGAAAACTTTAGTTACTCATAGCAGGTCTCATCCTACTGGGAAAACAGGAGTTGGGAGTACTTTAGAGCCAATTTGAAGCACGCTCTCAAAAATGTTAAAATTGAAGGGGGGGGAGGCTTTCCTTTTTCTCAATTTATTTTAAACTCTTAACTAGCTTTATCTGCATCCTAGAAGCGTTCGGCTCATAACAAAGGATGACTTGTGCCCTCAAGCACCATCGAGCAACAGACAAAGCAAGCTACCATTAATCGGTCACGTTCTGACATCATGCCAAACCATTGTTTAGCATGATGAGAATGAGACACAGCAAGCGTCAGGCTCCCTCCCTCTGGTATGCCACGAGAAGGACCCACACATCCTGGTATATATGGGAGTAGAGGCACCCCAAGAGATTCTTCCCCACTTTCCAGTGCTTCTCCCTGATAGCAATTAGGAGATGGAGCATTTATTGTTATAACCATTTAGAACATATATTTATTCTTTTGAATATTCAAAACATTTTGTAGACATACGACCCATAGGGTAGGCCAGCATTATTGTTCCCCTATAGCAGGGTCTGAAGGACCATGGCCTGGCAGGTATTTCAACCAGAAACATCTTGATTTATTATCCCTTGGCCACCGCACAAGGTCTGTCTCAAATATTTGTTCTGGGCGTCAATATTAATGGTATTTTAATTTAATCCAGGCTTCTTCAACTAGGTGTCCTCCAAATGTTTTTTGGACTACAGACCTGGCAATAATGTCCAATGCTCAGGGACTATGAATGGGCACCAGGTTGTGGAAAACTGATTTAATCTACATACCCCTTGCGCACTATCCCAATCTCTGAACAGTGTGAGACTTCACAGGTTCCTGGGTTCGGTTTCCTCAGAACAGGGACAGCAGCGACCATGGTGTCTTTATGATATTTGGCTGTATATACAACCTGAGACTACAATGGAGGGGCTCACAGTATTAACACCCCGAGGGAGTCATGTGTCTCCCATAGTTAGGGGGCCATTACCAAGAAACTCCTCTGGTTGTTCCAGTAATTGAATCCCTACTGGATCCAGGAATTAGAAGGGGCTCAGGAAAACAACCTACCGCCCTCCAAACTCACAGAACTACAGTGGGACCTTGGGTTAAGTACTTAATTCGTTCCAGAGGTCCGTTCTTAACCTGAAATTGTTATTAACCTGAAGCACCACATTAGCTAGTGGGGCCTCCTCCTGCCGCCGCGCCACCGGAGCACGATTTTTGTTCTCATCCTGAAGCAAAGTTCTTAACCCAAGGTATTATTTCTGGGTTAGCGGAGTCTGTAACCTGAAGCGTATGTAACCCGAGGTACCACTGTATTAACAAATGAATCTCTTTATGGGCAGACCTATTCTAGGGTACTTACCATTTTCACAAGCATATAATTAAGCTTTGAAGGATTTAAAAAGGTCATATAAAATATACATGGACAAGACCTGAAGCAAACATTTGCTGCCTGTCATTTTTATGTTCTTTTATTATTTTGCTTTTAAATGTTATTTTCTTATTATTTTCCCCAAGAAGCTCAAGGTGGTCTCATGGTTCTCCCCCCCCCCGCCCACCCACATCATGTTATTGTTACAATAACTTTGCGAGGTAGGTTTGGTGGCCAGCGACTGCTCTCAAAATCACCCAGTGAGCTTCATAGCTGAGAAGAGATTCAAACTCTGCCCTCCCAGGTCCTAGTCCAACAGTCTATCAGCTACACTGCACTGGTTCTCAAGGATGTAACAGCCAGAGGTGAAATAATGGGTTCCTGGTAACTGCACTTATCCATTGGCTGAACTGCTGTGATGCCAGAGTCATCACAGGAAGTGGGGCAGGTGGGAAGGCTTAGAGAACAGTAGGAATAGCAGCCAATAATAGGAAGCCAGAAGATCTGAGCACAAACAAGGGTAGGAATTGAAAAGAGATGGCAGTGGCCAGAGCTGGCTCAATCATTATGCAGACTAAAACAGCTACCTCAAGCAGCAGAAACCCCCAAGGAGGCACCTTGTCATCTCCACAGAAATGGCGCTGGTAATGGCTGAAATTGTGCAATTTTGGAAAGATTTCACCCAAAATTGGCACTGATGCTGTTACTGCTACTCTGCCAGCAGGGGAGGTGGCAGTAGAAAAGTGGTGCCGGTGGCATCAGGGCAAGGCAGTTCTTCCCTTTTTGCCTCAAGTGGCGAAACAGGACGTGCAGCCCCTAGTGGTAGCAGGGACAATGGAGAACAGGGCTGCTAAAGTGTCAGCAAGGTAGGGCTGGCATGGGCAGAGTTCTATCTTTTGTAATTTATTTCAGTATTTTGAAACTGTGAAGTTTTCCATCCAGAGAGATCATCAAAGTGACACAGATTTACAAAAAAAAAGCAGTAATAAATGAACTCCGACTTTTTAATTAATTCAGCACAGCTACTTATTTCCCAGCAAATCTGCAAATTCCTTTCTTTCATTATTCTTGTGCCATAGACTGACTCCAACTCCACCCAACCAGCACACTGGCAGCCCATGGACTATCGATTTATCCAAAAGCAAACTCATGCACTGCGTTTCTGACTTCATTCCTATTGCAGTTAGCTCCTCTTTCCCACCCGCACCACAACTCTCTTTTAATCATGGATATGCTAAAGGGAGTCTGCAGAGATACCGAGGCAAATTCCTCACCATCGGAATTACGTTTATCGCTAGCAGTGTTTCACTTATCCTCCATCTGATCCTGCCAATCCAAGCCTAATCCTGACAGTGCTGTGATGCTCGCAACAGGGCTGCTGGATTGATGGCACTGCCCTGACTTAGTGCACTCACATGGTTCTGACCCTGCCTTGGTCCCAGCCCTGCCCAGGTAAACAGCAGAGTCGTCAGTTTTGGAATGGCATCTCCACCACACTGCATGCCTCACTACTGCTTGAACAAGTCCACCTTCTGCTGCTGCCAGTGTCTCAAATTTCAGTGGCGCCCCGCGTGATGCCAAAATCCAGCACCACTCCCGCCTCTCACCTTCCAATGGACTTCACAGTTGTGGTGCCTGCTGCAGCACCCCAGAAGCTCCGCACCCGGTGCAGTCGTGCTCCCCTAGAACTGTCTTTGCTGTAGCAATCCATTCCCAATCCACATACCTATCCAGAGTGCAAGGCAAGTGGGAAATGCTGCTCTCTGTTACCACTGCTCACATCTCAGAGAGGACATGTGAGAAGGCACGGATAGCAAAGAGGAGAGGAGAGAACAAGAGGGGTTGCAGTGGTCCCTTGCAAGGTAGGGGAAAAGGTAAAGGACCCCTGGACGGATAAGTGCAGTCAAAGGCAACTCTGGGGTTGCGGCGCTCATCTTGTTTTCAGGCCGAGGGAGCCAGCGTTTGTCCACAGACAGTTTTCCAGGTCATGTGGCCAGCAGGACTAAGCCACTTTTGGTGCAACAGAACTTCGTGGCAGAAGTCAGAGTGCACGGAAATGCCGTTTACCTTCCTGCCACAGCGGTACCTATTTATGTACTTGCACTGGTGTGTTTTCGAACTGCTAGGTTGGCAGGAGCTGGGACAGAACAATGGGAGCTCACCCTGTCACAGGGATTCGAACAATCGATCTTCCAGTCGGCAAGCCCAAGAGGCTCAGTGGTTTAGACCAATAAGGCCAGCCAAACCCAGCAGTCTGACAACTGTACTATATTGTCTCCTGTTGGATCTCACATAGTAAAAGCCACTTTGAGAAGGAAGCTCAAAGGCTGGGCTGGCAAATTTCAGGCTCTGTAGCCTGGAGACTCTGAAACTCAGACTCTGATAAAGATGGATGCCCTTATCCTTTTGGCTATGCAATCTGTGTCTCAATATAAATAAATAAAAGGAACATCAAGCTGTGCCACTAAAGGGACCACGCAGCATCAATTGCCAGAACAAGTGGATTCATCTCTCTGATGATTAGATGCCTGCAGGCTGAAATACCTGTACTGGCAATTTGGATGTGGATAATTAAAAAGCAGAGTCTTATTAGAATTTCTTAAAGCTAATTATTAATTGAAACTAAAATGTCTTTTAAAGCTTCATCTTAGCAACGAGATTAAAGAACTACATTTTATTAGGGTTTTTTCCTTTAAAGAAGCAAAGTTTGAAATACTGTGACTATCTGACAGTATAGTTTGCTGCTAGCAACAGCTTCCAGGACAGCGGTTGCTTTTGATACAGATACCACAGAATGATGTCTTGCATGAGAATACAATCCAAGAATATGCAATACAGTGTACTCAATGCAAGGATTCCTCTAGAAACCAATTATATTTATCTTATGCATTATCTATATATTCAAATATTCCTCTTGACATAACCATGGGGTGTGTGAATGTTAAGGACAATAAAGCTATTACCCATAAATATTTTTTGCAGCATTATCAGTAATAAGTACAGCTGTTACTCAAGATATACTTTTTCTTTAGGTGGGCCACAACTTCTTTAATGTGCATTTTAAACAAACATCGTACAACTACAGTTATGAAATCTGGATAAGAGCAAGCACAAACAAGGTCCTTCCTCTGGCTACAAATGAGGAGGAGAGGAAAGAGAGGGATTCTAAGGCTTCACCAAGGCTGGTTCCTCAATGTGAACACAACACAAAACCATGGTTTGGTCATGCTGTGTGTGAACTATTGGAATTATTCCAACGTGTGGTGCCCTGGGTAAAATTGCCCAGTTTGTGCTATGAGCCACTCCTAAAATAGGGACAAATTGTAAGAAGGCTTTCTCATGTATTTTCTGACATATATTTCAGTCTAAAGCTGCAAAAAAGTAAAATCCGTTGGAAGATGACACTATGAAAATGATGTAATTTTTCTTCCCCATAATCTGTCAGTCACCTTATTTCCTACACCGTTTTAGAAAATGTGACAATTTTTAATTGCATGTTCTTCCTTGCTATTATCTATTCAAGGGTGTGTGTGTGTGTTTTCTCTAAGAGAATCTTATATTCACATTATTATTTCCAAGACACAGAGTTGCCTAGCAATCTGGGAAAGTGGAAGGGTGTGTGTGTGTGTGTGTGTGTGTGTGTGTGTAGGGGGAGTAATAACAACACAGGCCTGTGAGATTACAAGGCAGCAGAACCGTTAAATTGGTTTGCAATACTTATCAAGATGTTTGTTTCTAAATGAGAAAGGATATAGGATTTGCTCGAAGCCTGATAAAATCTGTGGATCATTTCTCAACACCCTTCCCAGCCTTAGAAGCCCTCACTTTGCAGATATGCCTTTATTGCAAAACAGAGTTCTTCCATTTAGCTTCATTAGCTGCCAAACAACTAATAAGGGAGTCAGACTACGGTGCTGTGAACTGCTGGCCTAACATTTCATGACTGTTCCCAACTCAACGTGGGGCAGCAAGCTATGCAGAGCCATTCTCAAAGAAAAAGCCAGCAAAATGTCGCAAAGCATCTAGCATAGTCCTCTAAGACCGCAACCCTAAAGTCTCTTGATTCTGAGTCAATACACTTTCACTGCACAGTTAACATATTTAGCTATCACAAGACCTATTTGGGCATACAAATGACATAGAGGAGATAAGGATGCAGGACATATGAATGAGTCTTGGTCCCACCCTTAATGTCCCCATCATGCAGGAGTGCCAGCTCAAGGGGGTCAAGCCCTTTTGGACCCCCCTTATGTTTTGGGGGTCGGGCCCCTCCAATGTCCAAGTAGCACAGAGGCTCCTTCGCTTTCTCCACCTGCTGCGGAGGGGAGGGAGAGTTGGAGCAGCCTTCTGCTGGTGGCAGAGCCAGGAAGAGAAGGAGAAGGAGCCACCAGCCACTGAAGCCATGCAGCCACCCCCGGCTCCTCCCAACATCCTGACATCACACGCACGGTGTCGGGACATCACATGTACTCCATTGTCCCCCAAATCGCTCTCGTAAGGTGGCACCTCTGCTACCATTGTTCCCTTCCCTTCTTGAGCAGGTGGGTCTGAAGAGGGCTTCTATGTGTGTTTGCATGGACAATGACAACTGTGGTCAGTTGAAAACAGAAGCCCCTCTTCACACGTTCACTTTGAATGCCAAAAGAGTTTTTTATCTTAACCAAAGTCAGGCATTATAACTCCCTCATGTAAGAACACCAGAAGAGTCCCCCTGGAGCCAGCCAAAGGCCCAACTAGTCCAGCCTCCTGATCTCACAGTGACCAGACAGATGCCCAAAGGAAGGCCTGAATGCAATAGCTGTGATTCCCAGCACCAGGTATTCAGAGGCATACTGCATTTGATAGGGAAAGTCTTACACATCCATCATGACTGAGGAGCCATTGGTAGCCTTACTGATAACCTAACAGAACCACAACTTCCAGGGTACTATAATTTAACAATCATCCCCTCTTTGTAGGGAACTATAGGAATTGGAACTTTGTGAGGAGAATAACTATTTACTAAAAACTCTCAGCACCCTTAGCAAACTACAAAACCCATGATTCTTTGGGGGGAAGCTGTTTAAAGCGACATAATACTGCTTTAAATGTGTAGTGCAAATATGGCCAAAGACTGGGGGGCAGGGGAATGTAAAATGGAGAAAGCCATCCGTAGACCTGAGATACAAGTGAACAAGGATAATGACCAATGTGTTTGGAGCAGATAATTCATTCAGTGCCACACGGAATTTCTTCCTTACCTGTACTTTCGTCCATGCTCTCCTCAGAGACATGCTCATTTTGGTGCACCCACTCCCCATTGCACTTGAAGAAGATCTGCATTGCAGGCACAGCTCGGCAGCGCAACACAATAGGGTTGCTTTTGATTATATACGCATCGTCTGGCTCTTGCAGAAAATGGGGCAGTGTCCCAGGAGCAGACGGGATGGACTCTGGGAGGGTTTCGCCATTGTCATTGCCTGCAAATGAAAAAGAAAGGAAATGTCACACATGAAGGAATCCTGGTCAAAAACAAATCAGATCATGGCCCAAATAGGATGCTTGGACCTGGGTGTTGTTGTTTACAACATTCGTGATACATTTGGCCAGCAGCAACAGTTAACATGACAAGATCTGAAAGCAAAAGATCTCAGCAGGATGGATCTGGTCCATGACTGGATAGGAAGCATGCATGGTACTCTCAGTTCCATTTAAGAAAGGAAAGATGATTATTATGATAATTTAACTAACTAACTAGTGAATTGAGACAATGGGGGCACACCTAGCACATCTATGAATTGGCAGTTCAGTGAGTGTGCTCACAACTCGGAAGAATTTGCAGCAGACTTCCCCAAGCTGGTGCCTTCCTGGTGTTTGGGACTAGAACTTCCATCAGCCTTAATCAGCGCACCCAGTGCTCAGGAATGATGGGACTTGTAGTCTAAAGCATCTGGAAAGCACCAGCTTGGGGAAGGCTGACCTACAACCATCCAAGGGTGCAAATTTGTGCAGTAAGATTAAAGACATGTAGCACAAAGGAAGAGAGTGAAATTCTAGCCCAAGGGGAATGCAAGAAAGCAAGTTTGCTGCACACATGACAGAATTATCATATTAAGAATAAAATATGCATCATTACTGATGTGAAATATTCACTAAAGTGGAAAACACTGATATAGTATCAACATCCACCAAGACTCTGACAGGTATCCCCATTTTACAGAACGGAACAGAGGCTTCATATAAAAATTGCTCCAACATTTCACAGGAGAAAATAGAGACAACCCTTTGCATGAAAAGCTAGAATGAGCCTGCAGCAGAGTCCAGTTGCCTGAGGAGAACATAATCCAGCCTACAAGTGTGACATAAGTAGGAACTAATTAAACATACGCAACAACCGAAGGTGGTGAGTCAACCCACAGACAACTATAGGTCAATGCAATTAAGTGTGTCGAAGGTATGAGAGCTGCTGAGGGATTTTGCTGTTCCAGGCCCATTAAAGCTATCATTTAAGTCACTAGCCCTTCTAGAATTAACATGATCAAACATAATGTGAAAGCACCACTCAAAACAACTGCTTTGTAAGCCAGTGGGTGAAGTTAGAGCAGGTGGACCAGATCTTTGCCTCTCCCGCCCTACATAGGTCACTTTGGCTGACAAGACAAGTTCAGAGATTTACTCATAAAAACAGCAGAGAAGCATTTATCTGCACTGGTTGCATGGGAACAGGACAGACACACGAAACAGTTTTGCCACTGTCACACTGCATTTTGCCCACTGGATCACAATTAAGTTAGTCTTTGGTAAAGAAGGCAGTCGATGCTCTCTTAAAGTCTCCAAAGTACTTTTGCTTTAACGTAAACACGTGCATGCATTTTTTAAGATGGAGCTGCAGGGACATTTCATATGATTTAAATTGCACTCACACACTCCTTAATGTATTGTTAAAATGATGCAGTTCACCCATTTATGACATGTCAACCGACAGTAAATATTACATCCCTGTAGGCTTTATTAAATCCATGCATTAGATGGAACAAAAGGCATTAAAACATTTTATGCGAGAAAAGAACTCCCTACTTCCATTGGTGCCTTGAGCGATGTCAAAGTTGTACATTTCGACTTGTACTTATGCAGTTTAATAGCCCGTGAAAAAAGGGTGGAATGTTCACCAAAAATGTAATCACCTAATCATAGAATATTAGAAAGGGCCCAACAGGGCATTATAGTTCATCCAGAACCCCAGGGGCTTCTTGTTATCTAAAGCATCTTTTACATCATCACCACCATGATCCATGTAGATTTGCCATTTCATTAAGAGCATTGCAGAGTAGAATTTCAGTGGAAAAGAAGCTCAGGTATGATTTGCTTAGTGTTATATATATATATATATCCCGTTTGGGTGGTGTCTGGGGCACTCAAGGCAGGCCCAAAACAGAATCTGGTAGGCGCTAGGCAGATTAAAATGATGGATGTTCTGGCAATCTTGCTCTCTCTGTGGAAAGTATGTGTGCGTAAGAGAGCAGAGGCAGAGCAACAGTAGCAAGAAGAAAATGCACCCACTCAGGTGAAGTGGCTCAGGTGAAGCAGGTGGGAGAGCTAGCTAATAGCATCTGGACAAAGGTCCATCCCTCTCACCACAAAAGAAAAAAAAGACATAAAACTGGAACCAGCACAGATACCATGTGATGTGCATCTTTAAAAATATACAGGCAACAATCGGCCTTCCCAAACTCGCTGGTGTGTAGTGTGGCCATATGCCCCACTGTACCAAGTATAGTCCTTTATCTGAAGGAGTCCTCTGTCTGAAAGGCTGTCTCGCCCACAATTTCAATATGAAAATACAAAACCCTGAGAAGGGAAAGCCAGGGGGACCATCACGTTGCTCATCCAACATTTAGCAGCACCTGGGCAGCAGACCGAACAGGCACACATGGGTTACCTGGCCTCAGCCTTCCCCACTATGGTGGCATGTGTTGTAACTCTATTTAAATCACAGTTATCGTTTCTAAATTTGCATACATGCACAAATGAGCAGATGCCAATGTTATGCAAATCTGTATCATTTTGGGGAGGGCGACGCATTTCCTCTCGAATTAAATTAAGCCACTTCCTGGTTGACATCACCACAGCAGCCCTTGAACGATAAAGAAAATAAAACATTGTGTGTGTGTGTGTTTGACAAAATTGTTTAGAATCAAGTGGGGCTCTGGAACATTTCTGCTTGCAAATTATTAGCACTTTTCATGTTTATATCCGTCATTTTTCAAGATGGAGGCTATTCGTAGCTTCGGGGAAACAGTGTAATGCCGCAATGAATGACAAGACCCAACAATCAAACATATTGTGTGCTGTTTTCGTTTGCATTCTTGGGAAATTACCTTTCAGAAAGTGTTTTGTGTTTTATGCCCCATGCGCTCACGTAGTAGGTCCTCTAATTCTTTTTATGACAGTAATGAAAAGAAGAGGCGAGAGAGTTAGAAAGAAACAGGAATGCAGCGTTTGTCATTTTTCAAAGCCCTGATAGCAGCAGAAGCAACAAATCTTTACAAATTTTAAACAAAATGGGAATATAATTAAAAACTCCCCCTTAGAAAACCAAGTTTCCTTCTTTTAGAAGAAGATAGTTTGAATGATGTTAATTCTTTGCACTATGGAAGACACATTTTAAATTAAAATAAGATTTCTTTAAAAACTGAATTAAACACCCTCTTATTGAAATAAACAGCATTAGCCATGTTATAGCAGGTGCCGGATATGCCATTAGCAAAGTGCTACATTCTAAATTTTTCAGGTTTTATGGACTGCGATTTGGTAGCTTTTTACCATTTATACAGCCCTATAAAACCAAACAGCGTATTATTGTAGAAAATATGCCTTGGGAAGTACCTGAGAGCAAGCAAGGAAAGGTTTTTTGGTCGTAACAAAACTAATATCTTACTTGCCTAGAAATGTTCTTTAGAGCAATGTGCACATTTCCAAGTATAAAAACAGGAAGGTAATGCACCACTTGCCATAAAAGGTGAACAAGGATCTAGATCTTGTTTGTGAGCTCAGAATGTTCTCTGAAGAAAACAGAAAACAGGGATCACATTTGCAAGCAGACCAGCAACTGGAGATGGACATTACCATTTTTTTTTCCTGTGAGCACAAACTGTTTATCACCTTCTATACAAATGGTTGTCTGGGATAGGAACTTACTATGTTATTTGGATGTTATTTTGGATGTATTGCCTAAACTCCATCTTTGGGGTTAGGGTGTAGTATTTTAGTTTATATGTGTATGGTGTTGTTATACAGTTGTACCTTGGAAGCCGAACGGAATCCGTTTTGGAAGTCCATTCGACTTCCAAAATGCTTGACTTCCAAGGCGCGGCTTCTGATTGGCTGCAGGAGCTTGCTGCAGCCAATCAGAAGCCACCGAAGCCCCGCTTCACAAACTGGAACACTCCATTTGACTTCCAAAATGTTCGACTTCCAAGGTGCAGCTTTTGATTGGCTGCAGGAGCTGGCTGCAGCCAATTGGAAGCCGCGCCGGACATTCAGCTTCCAAAAGAACGTTCGCAAACCGGAACACTCACTTTCGGGTTTGCGACGTTCAGGAGCCAAAACGTTCAACTGCTAAGGCATTCATCAACCAAGGTATAACTGTATATTGTAGGAATCTAATAAAAACAACAGCATGAACATGCAGATATTTTTGGCACCCCTAAGAACATATTAAGAACCTGCTGGATCAGGCCAATGGCCCACCTACTTCAGCAACCTGTTCCTATAAGGTTATATCCAGTTTTAGCCATACTCAGACTGGACTAATTGAAATTAATGGACACAGCTAACTCTGATGGGTATTTAGTAGGATACAAGCCACAGTGGCCAACAAGTTGCCTATGGGAAGTCCGAAAACAGGACCAATCCAACTCAGCATAGTCTAAGCTGACTGGTGGCAGCTGTCCAGGATTTCAGACAAGGTTCTCTCCCGGCCCTACCTGGAGATGCTGGGCGTTGAACTCGGAACCTTGTGCATGCAAAACAGATACTCTTCCATTGAGGTAAGGTCCTTCCCTCAAGTTAACAAAGTTGGTGGCTGTTGCTACTTCTTGTAGTGTGAGAGCCAGAACTGTAATCCCTCCCTAAAAACACAGAACACATTGCATACTTGTTCCATGTCAGGAACACTGGAGAGAGATTAAAATGGGGGCTGGCTTGGATGTCACTGGAACCTATGGTTTCCTGGTATATGCATAACACCTAGGCTGACATCTTCTCCCTCTCCTCCTCTTGTGTGATTACAAAGCGATTGAAAGCTTTTATTCTATAAATAAGAAAATTAAACTGTGCTATTTTCAGGTTTGCATTCTTAAATATTCCACATTTCTGCATTACACCTGAATATAGATAACTATAGTTTGTTTTTGGAGCAATCCAGGAACAAACCATAGTTCCCTGTGTCTTCTAACATTTTCCCCAACCCTCTGCAGCA